GAGAATTGTGGAGGTGGAGGGGAAAAGTCAAAGTAGGATTAAAATATATTGTTTGAAAAAATATTTTCTCTATGAAATAACCTTCAATGTAAAAAATTCCCATAGTCTGAATCTATTTCCCCATTGGCATATCTATACAAATCAAATTCATGCTGTCCTAAATCATCTTTATATCTGCACAGGCCTTAATTTGCTTGAATCTTCTTTGCCCCTGATTTTCTAGCTACCTTTCTTAGCTACAAAACAACCTAATGCTACCACAAGGGTGCTGAACTGGATAGAGAGCAAACACTGCACTAGATTTTAGTAATACAGCTTCCATTCCAGGTATTAAATAGGTAACAACCCAATTCATGAATCAATTCAGGAGAAATAAAGAAACAAAACTAGAAAAAGTGTATAAACTATATTGTATACATGCATTATTACACTTAGTGATGAAACCAAACAGAGCTAACAGTAAGTTAAGTGCTTTTAGTAATGCTCATCAATATTGTGTCAGTCAATAGATTTATAAAATACAAATAAATATAAAAAATGGTGTAATATTAAAATATTACATATGTCAGTACCAATAACGTATCAAAACCATATCAATACAAAATCAAAAAATGGTGACATTGGTATCATGCACATTTTTCATTGCAAAACCTAACAATAAAAAAAATACTTGAGGGCCAGTTTCAGTCTGGACATATAGGAGAACAAGATTCAGGATTTCATTTTCTGCAGCCATGAAGATTGATCTATGTTATGCCAGTACTCAACAAAATAAGGCCTGAGAAACCAGTGGGTTTCATTGAAGGGCAGAGTTGCCTTTCTAATTAGGCTACTCACTACAGTTTTAGTGCCACAGAATGACAACTGTTTGTCTACACAGGCTTAAATAGTGATGTTTTGAGTCAGTGCAATTATTTCTCTTCCTTTGCTGTAATCCCTCCTAAACTGTGCTTCAAAGTTTGAGAGGTATCTCACCCCCTACAGTAAAAGGAAGCTAAGTCTGAAGTTCAATTTATTATTGTCTACCATGGATATCCTCAGCTTGCAGTAAATTAATGAAAAGGATATGTTCAGCTTGGTTAGCCCAGTGTAATGCAGTTATATTCTACTTCCTGTAGCCACTAATTCATTAAATGCCACTGCTGGCTGTGTCCCTGCATCCCTCAAGATGTAGCTCTGGTATAAAAAGTTCCCAGGAAAACCTGTGAACACAAGTTTTTAGCTGTGAATATTGGGGGTGGGTTTTTTATTCTTTTTTTTTTTTTTTTTTTTTTTGTTGTTATTCACATGGTGAGAGACTTGCAAGCAACCAATACCATCTGGAATTCATATAGTTAAAATTTTGCTTAGAAGTTAATGTTCCTGGTTATTGAAAAGACAGAGAAATATTATTTCACTTTCTTCTTGGCTATTTAATTACACATAAATAGTAATATGAGATATTTTTTACTTGGTACAACAAGTATTGAATATCTTCTATAATGATGAACTCGATAATATAGAAGTTGGGGAGGTATTGATAGGCTCAGAAAATTGTTTGGGCAAAAGAAAACACTCCTAATGAGCAAAGTCAAGAATTATTGCTTGTGAAATTGAGATTCTAGTCATCTAATCAAATAATTCCAAATCTAGTAATTATAGACAAATGAGGGGGGAAAAAAGGAAATAAAAAACAACCAAACAAACAAAAAACACCAAACCTCCTCCCTAACAACAGATTACTATCAGAGAAAGGGTCTCAATAATAATAGAGATAAAACTGCTATACAGACAACTTCTAGTACTTAGTCATTCCCTACTGTCATGGCACACCCTCCTACTATTTTTCTTGGTCCTGAAGTTATTGGCTAAACTTTGGGGGCAGGAGGAGTCTGACAGCAAGTCCTTCAGAGGAAAAGATTTGTTGAAGGCAGGGATTTCTTTCTCCTCTTTGGTGGCAGGAGGATAACTTCACCTTCCTCACTCTGGGGTCCAGTGAGGGGTATTTTTATGTCTTTTTATCTTATCACTTTTTACATTCTGTTTTTCTTCCTTGCTCTACAATTCCACTTTACAGTTAAATGTACTACATATGGAATGTTTTACATATAATTGATACTTACTCTAAGAATCTGTAGTTGTACTGTCCAACTCACATACCTTCTTTTTTTGCTTTACTTATCAGCAAATAGTCACAAGTGAGCTGTTTCCTGAGGTCTGCAGGGTCACCACATGTCACTTTTCTTACCACGTTAAGCCTATATTCCTCTACACTGCATCAAGTCCCAAATTTCAGGCCTCTGTTGCTATACCATGCCCATACTATGTATTACTTAATTATGTGAAGATTATAGATGTTCTTCTTTTCTATGCAGAAAAAATCTGGCTGGTAACAAGGCTGTACCATCTTTGTCAGCATTTCAGTTTTTGGGGTAAGGATGCAGAAAACTTTAGTGAGCTTTGTAAGTAAAAAATGAATGGTGAGAAGCTGGACAGCTGCTAAACCAGGCAATAACATCACTTAACTTATGCTGGTAGTATTAGAAGGTTTAAAGGAGGTACCAGCCACATTTCCACTTCAGGAAAAGAGGAAACCACATACCAATACACTGCTGACATCTCATGGAAACAATTATCTTTAATTTCAGTTATAAAACAAACCCACAGACATTATTAAATATTGGAACTGCTTGTGTGGTTTCAGATACATGTGGTTCAAGAGAATATCTTCAGGAAATGGTTTGATATTTGACTCACCAAGATCAATGCATTATGCAATTACCAAGAACGTGTTTACACAGTGTAATACTTTGAACATATTTTCCTAGAATTCAGAGCAAAACCAATTTTGCAATGAAATATAGTACTTAATAAAGGCTGGAATTCTGCTTTGTGAACATTTTATTATATAAACATTCATAATAGCTCCTAGGATGGAGGTGCTACTAAAGCAGAAAGAAAAAAAAACATAGTTCAAGCAAGCCATACTTTTTCTTTTAAAGTAAAATGCCAATAACCTATCATGACTGTGATGGCATGACTCACTTTAATACTGACACATATAGATCCCACAAACCACAGAAACATTTGGGCTGTTATTTTTAATGGCCTTTTAAAGACATGAACAATAAAAGCAAACAATAAAACATCTTTATTGCATTGCTGCACTTGGCAAAGGGACTAGAAATGTTTTGGATGATGGCTGTGCTGGGTATGGCTGGGATGGAGTTAACTTTCCTCATGGCAGCCCATATCCTGTCCTGTGCTGCATTTGCAGCTAAAATGATGTTGATAAAGTGCCGAAGTTTCTGCTGCTGCTGAGCAGTGCTTGCACATCATCAGGTCATTCTCTCAGGCCAGAAGGCTGAAAAGATGAGCAAAATTTTGGGAAGGACACAGCTGGGACAGCTGGCTTCAACTGGCCTGGGAGAGTGCACGCCATTCAACATCATGCTCAGCAGCATAAAACACAGGAAAGGAGTGGGGAGGAGGAAGGATTTCATTAATAAATCAATTATCTTCTAAAGCAACTCTTCATACTGAAGCCCTGACTCTCAGTGGCTGGATATTGCCTGCTCATGGGAATAAGAGAATAAATCTCATCTTGCTTTGCTTCTGTGTGTGACCTTTGCTTTATTCATTAAACTGCCCTCATCTCAACCTCAAGCTTGTCCATCTTATTTTCTTCTCCTGTGCTGTCAAGAAGAGGAGAGTGAGAATTACAGGGTGGGAAGCTGAAGGCCAGGAAAGGCAGACCCACTACAACACATTTATTTAAAAGTAGTGCAGCTATTGCCACTGCTTTTGTGTGCCACAGAGAAAAGAATAATCTCATTGCAGTCTCTTTGATAAAGATTCTCCAAAAAGTAGGCCGAATATAAACTGTTTATTTATAAACCATAACATAAAAAATTTGTATTGATAACAAGAAAAGTAAGAACTGTTCTTTTAAGGATTCTTTAGCAGAGCAGAACATGAAGTTATTTATCATTTTATTAAAATAGCAGAAAGCAAAACCAAAAATTTAGCTGGGTCAAATCCCAAAGTCAATTACGAAGCTCCTGATTACTTCAGGTTGCAAAAATTGCTCTCTACAAGACATGAATCAGAAATGAAGGCAGAAAAAGTCTAGAAGTTACCCAGATAATAGAAACTTTTCCAAACCATTATGTGAAGTTCCTCTCATCCTGGGACTTATTACAGATCATCCAAAATCAGAAGAATGGCTGTGATTTTACTGCAGCACCCAGGACCACAGCAATCCATCTAAAGATCAAGGAAATACATGTTTCTTTACGTTTGTCCAATATTAATTATAAATGAACACTAAAATACATCATTTGAAAATATGAAGATTTTGTCCTTAAATGATCCAGGTGTTTTCAGCCTGCCCGGGAAAAAAACTCTTTCACTTTTCTAACACATCTGACAAATGTCAAAGTTCTTGAACATTCCTGAAATAGGCTACTCTAGCAAAAACTAGATGATAATATTACCATTGTTTCTTCTTGTAAGTCATGTTTCAATTGCTTTTACCATAATTTAGCACCCTTTCCATTTTACAGATAGGAAATTGAGTCAGAAGGAAGTTATTCAGCCACCGTTTTCTAAACTAAGAGAACACAGGATGTAACTTGGGAATGGAAAAGAAGGAAGGTATCTTTGGATATCAAACCCAATTTTTAACTTACATCCCCACAGTGTGGGGGCACAGGCCACACAGATCTAACTGCTGGTGTTTTCTTTTTGAGGTAAATGTCCCTTTATCTTTTAGAGATTCTTGTTTTTCTTGGGTGAAGTAAGTGAGAGAAAGCATAGGGAGAGCTTCATGTCATTTTCAGTTCTCTGGTCTTATTTTATGAACTGAAAGATAATCCCTCAGGTATATTTTTGAACTGCAGGGGTGTGTGTATATATACGTATATATATATATATCTTCATATATATATATATATATATATATATACATATATATATATATATATGAGGATGAAAAGAGTAAAATCCCAACATTTTTCTCCACATTCTAGTGAAGGCTATAACCTACCTGCCACTTGTGATGTCTTATTCAGTCTGGATAAATAAAAGTTTACTGCTCAAAGTCAATATATTTTGTGCTGACATTAGGTAGGCTCCTCCTTCCACATCACAGGAAATACCTTAATTTAGGCAAAAATCCCAAGACACAGAATCTTTCTGGTGGACTGTCCTTTGCTGGACTTCAATACAATAGGGTTCTCCTGATTTGGGAATGGTGGGATTGGAGCTCACAACTCACTGTAGCTACATGAAAAGAGAAAAATAAAAAGAGTAACTACACCACTTATGCACTCACTTTGCAGAAAACAATTCTGGAAGTAGATAATAGAAATGATAGTGCTTCAAAAATATTCAGTAAAAAAATCCTTAATCTTATGTAGTTGCTCCTTATAAAATTTCTGGTGAACTGCAGAGGCATACAGCAAGAATGAGATAGGGAAAACTGTATCTATTTGTAATTTATGTCTCTGAATACAAAAGTACAAAATATTTCTAAAACATAATTCTCCATTGAGCTACAAATCTAGTAGCAATGACATTTTTTACATATTTTACAGTGATACACATGAACATATATGGAGTATTGTTATACTAAAGAGTATGGAACACATTTAAAAATTGAGTGTTGTTCCATGAAACATTCCAAGGGTTCAAAGATTATAATGTTTTACTTCTGTTCTACTTCCCCGCTGGTACCCAGCTAAAAATTATCTAAAATTTTAGATTCCCCTTCAATATACCTTTGCTGAATGCAAATATAAGCTGTTTTAAACAACAAAAAAAAAAAAAAAAAAAAAAAAGAAACTAAAGAATGGGTCATGAGTATGGCAGTATAATGAATGTCTCCGAAGGACTCTCTTCTAGATCTTCCTTTTTTTTTTTTTTTTTTCCAAATTTATTTTCCTAACTGATCATGTATTCTTTTTCTAATTAAAAAAAAAAAGTCCATAAAGGAAACATCCTTTCCCCTAGCAGGTACTTTGACATTCATACAAAGTGTTCCAGAAAAAAAAACATATAGAGTGGCTGGTAGGAGCAGATTACCTGATTAAGGGAAGGACAGCATTAATTTTTTCAAGATTAAAAAAAAGTAAAAACAAATGCAGTCGATACAAGCACAACAAAATAGTCAAGTACAACACTCAATGTTTTAGAATGGTGACATAGCTCTGATCATAACAAAGTTCAAAAGAAGGAAATGAAAGAAAGTAATTTTATTTTTTTAAAAATGGGATACACTGCAAGTGGTTACAAAGATGATGTTCTTTAAAATTAAACTAGGATCCTACATAATTTTTTCCATATATTTTAACCTATTTAATATATTTCCACTTTTTAATATACTTCATTGTTTCCAGCTTAAAGATTCTCTTCACTGCTAGGACTGTACTAGCTGAGAATAATGATTTTTAGCATAGACTAGCCCAATAAGAACTAGACTGAACCAGAATGCTGATATTGCCTTTTTTCCATGAGCACCAAGAGATAGGAATAGAAGTCATATTTGAAGAATTATATTTAAACATACGTAAATAATTCTGCTGAGCTTTGCTTACCTGAACACTCATATATTTTCACAATAAAGAATTTGTCTACCATATTTTCAGTTACATATAAAACATGATAAATTTCATAAGCTAATAATGTTTAAAAACAGGCAGAATAGAAAAAGAAATAATAAAAAAAAAAAAGCTCAAATGCTTTAAAATACCTTGAAATATCTTTACATATCCATGTTTTTTTCAGAATACTTTTATAATCCTATTAGATTGTTCACAGAATAGCGTGTCTTCATTTCTCCAAGAATGTGTTCTGATTCCCAGATAAGGCACCTCTAAATTTACTTTATGTATTTTCCTTCCCTGAAATTTTATTATCGTTGTTAGATGTCATAATGGATTTTAAAGCTATCTGAGCAAGAGAAACATAGAAATTCAGTAGTACTTTTATTATTGAGTCCTGAAGATTGTGCAACTCTACAGCAAGCAATAATTTCTCATTTTCTTAGTTTGGGTTTTTCCTTCTTTGCCATATATTATTAGACATAAGTATTTCTATTACAAAGTATGTGTTTAGTACAAAGATAAAAATTTGTTTTCCAGTAGAAAAAGACGACTGAAATAATTAAAAGTATTTAATTCCTAACTGGGACATTGTGAACTAGACAAATTTGAAAGCATTAATGAAGCAAAATTTCAAAAATAACTGTCATGCTCACATATATATGATAATATGTGGTGATAAAAGAGGAGAAAACATTTCTAAACTGTAAGAGGATAAATTTAGATTAGATATGAGGATGAAATTGCTTATCATGAGGGTGGTGAAGCCCTGGCACAGGTGAACCTATGGATGCCCCATCTCTGGCAGTGTTCACACCAGGCTGGATGGAGCTCTGAGCTATGTGGTCTGGTGGAAGGTGTCCCTGCCCACAGCAAATAAAATGGAAATAGATGATCTCTAAGACCCCTTCCAACCCAGGGCATTTCATATCTATGACCCACATTTAAATCTGTAGAATTTGCACTGTATAATGGAGAAATGCTGTGCCCCACCATGTCAGACCAACTCAATCCATGAAGCCTGGTTTCCAAAAGAAAGGATCTGGACCTCTCACCTGCACAGCACAAGGCATAACAGGGCACCTAGGTGAGATCAAGATGAAATCTTGCACCTCTTCCCCTTCAGTGCTCCTGGTGTGACTCCACACAATTTCTTGTAAAGCATCGCAGAGAACTGAAAGATCTAGAATAAGGTACTACGTGAGGGATTTCACTGTGGTGCTTAACCATCAACAGCGTTCCCATTCCTCAAAGCTCCTAAATGTGTGTTAACTTTCATAAAATTTCAAAACAGCTTAGTCTTCCTAATAAATAAGGATCACTTAAGTACATACTTCGATGTGTTGCTTAATTAAGCGACAGATCAATTACTAATATCACATTTCTGCTAATAAGGCTATGGCCTGAGATAGGTTTGTTCAGTGAAGGAATGTTTCTGAAGAGACTGGAGAGTCTTTTGGGTAAAATAAACTAAACTTTCTTTTGTTATTTATTAAATTATAGACAAAATAAAATATATTAAAATTAAAAAATTATTCATTCTTTTTAAAAAAGAGTTCTGTAATTTCTGTGGATGGCATTTGTGTCCTCATCATGACATAAACAAGCAGGAGTCCTGTTCTGTGCTAGGTGCACTGAGAACTTGGAATTCCTAAGTATTGACTGGGCAGATGAATCATATGTAACTATTTTATGGTCAGCAATATCAAACTGACACAACATTCTTCTCATCTTCATTAACACAACTTCATTAACACATTTTGTTTTACAATTAGATTATTCTAAAAAAAGATAAAAATTAATTTAATTTCATCTGGCATATACTTTTATCACATATATACCACCTTAGAAAACACCCCCAAATACAAATCACAAACAACATCCTATTTCAAGTATGAAATGTTAAAAAGGCTTTACAACTCCTGTCCTTTTGTTTTGCCTTTTTTAACTTCATAGAAGACTTATCAGACACATTGGAGTTTGTTATATCTTTGGCATACGGAAAAAAAAAAGCAATTTTTCAATATTTGTATACAATTTTTCTGCAAAATTATCACTATTTTTGCTTTTCATAGGATTTTCCTAATCCATCACAACCATTTACCCAAGATGCTGCCTCTGACAGATCTAATGAATGACACATTTTGTAGCATGTTGACTGGTGAAATATTTAAAAAACAAGGACAAGATTGACTGAGGTCAGTAAAAATAAATAGCTTATCTCTGTGCTACATCTCCTTTTCCTTCATATATTTTTCTTGTCAAAGGCATCAGTAATGCTTCATTTTCAGAGTCACAGTTTAGAAAGGCTGAGGATTTAAATGTCACCCTTCATTATTGTTTGATGTGATAAAGGTTTCATGCCACAGACTTCCTGAGTAAGGATAACTGTTTATCGAATTCTTTTAGGAAAAGTATTAATTTTGCTTTTTAAACCAGTTCTTTTTCAGAAGTCTTTTGTTCTTTGTCACTATTAAATAGATCTTACGAGACTTAAAGTTCATGTACAAAAGTATTTTATGTGTTTTCTGAAATGTCCTTTACGTGTTTCACATTTAAATTCTGCCAGGTAAGGGCTTGATAACTTTTCCCAAAAGGAGAGATGGTGCTTAGGTGACATAGTGGATTAGCTTTAAGACATTCAGAACCATATGGTCCCATGGTCTTCATGCTTAAAGAAGTAGTAAATCATTATACCACCTACACCTCCCAGCCCAAAAAAACCCAACCAAACAAACAAACAAAAATGAAACCCCAAAACCCCAAATTAAACAACAACAACAACAAAAAATTTTTTCTCCAAATTCAACATGTGAGCTAAAAGAGCTGTGTTTTACTCAGAATCCTGCTGGCCCAGGCAATAAAAAAAAATGGACAAACTAATCAACAGTTTTGTGTACTGAAAAGCTTGTAGGAAATCCAGCATGTATCTGTCCAGCTGGGAGGAGTGATGTTCTTTTCAGCTCACCCCATTTTCTAAAGGGATCTATGCAGGGCACATACTTCCATCCCAGAGAGTCAAGAGAGGTTTGCAATACAAATGCCTCCTTTAAGCACTGATAACTGAGTGGAATAAATGGAGGTTTAGCCCTAATAAAATGTTTCTTCCACAATACCAGTCCCAAAACCAGCAAGAGCCAGAAGAGTTTAAAAAGGTAAAACAGACATCCCATGCATGCTAATAATTCCTGCCAGGATTTCTGGCCATTCTTGAAATAATAAATGTGGCATATAATGAAACTGTATCAACTGCATGAACAGAAGCTTACCAAGGCACATGCCATTTTTTAACATAACTTTCAGTATTCTTGGTACTCTCCCTCATCTACAGTATTCCTTTACTCTGAGACATGCTTTCCCACCCACTATCCCAGAGTTTCAACCCCAAGATATGTTAGATTATACAGGCAGGTGAAAACCAAAACTTTTTTTGCAGCTGAGGTAGGATCTTACACTGGAGAGTGTAGAAATCGTGTAATTTTCTACCTCTTTGTTTCTTGCAAATATGAATACTTCATGTACAAACACTTCTAAGTGTCTGCAATTAAAGAAAGGTAAATTGTGTTTGATTCCATTATGAGTAAAGACATTTACCTTTTACTAAAATTATGGTTGCAGAATTGTGATGGTTTGCTTTCCTTTTTCTTTCAAGTGTGCCTTTGAATCCTATGGAAGACTAGAGAAGGATTTCATCAGGGATCCTTCCAAGCTCTTTCTCTTGTTTATGGCATTTTTTAGCAGAATTATTAGTGTTAGAAAGCTTTCCTTGTCTGCATTTCTATTCTGTGAAGTTTTCATAATTATGTATGTATAATTAAGATTTCCATTAGTGCCTTTTTTTTTCTTTTTTTTAATTCCCTGTGTCCCAGTAAAAATGACAGATAAATGCCTTGAGACTGTTATGCCTTAATTGTTCCCCAGGAGTTAGATTACTGAGTTAGGACCTGATTCATACACATTTTATGCACCATTTCCTTGAATTTTTTTTTTAATTTAACATTTTGCTCAGAAACTTAATACTACCGAGAAAAGTGCCAATAGTCCTTATTTATGTAAATCCCTTGTGAATAGTTGCCATGTCTTCCCTCTGCACCTCATTATGCACTACATGCATTCCAAAGAAGAGGAAGAATCAGCTGCAATAGTCCAACTAACCAAATATTTACAGCTTTTTGTTGTTATTTCAACCTTTCAGATAAATCATGCCATGGGTTTCAGCAGTATATACCTCAAAAAAAGTCACTCTGAATACACATCAGTGTAAATAAAACCAGAGTTTGAATACTAAAGACAGCCTTCAAAAGAACGATCAAGAAAATGGGAGCACATGTAGCAGTCTGTTTTTCAGACTTTATAAATATTTCATCATAAAACCTAGTCACTATTATGCAGGGGTGAGCTGCTAAAAGAATATTAAAATAATTTGCTTAAGAGTCAGACATAGAGTTAATACAAGTCATATTGCTCCACTTTTCCAAGGAAATCAAACAGCAATGGGAAGAAGAGCTTTTCTCACAGCCAGTAGGGGTAATGCAGCTCCCAGAAAAAATGCTGAAGTTAGAAAGGGTCACCTTGCTCTAAGTGGAATGAATCACTTCCACACAGCCCTGCTGTATATGACATTATTATTAGTGCAACACAGTTGGAAAAACCAGTCATGACATACTTACTGGAAAACATCTTTTCATTTAGCATAAAAACAACAAATTTACTTCCTTTGCCTTCTCTGTTAACTTGCCTGCAACTTCATTGTCCCAAAACCCTAGAGTCTGTCAGTCTAAAGGGCACTGGAGACCCATTCCCGTTAGACAAAGTCTCCTTTCCTGCTCTGACCAAAAAAAAACCCCAAAAAAATCCTTCTGGAGAATTCGTTTTTGTTGTCCTCGAGAAACCCTTCATATTTTTTCTTTGGCAAAAGTATCAGGTAAAGATATTGGTGACAGTTTTGTTTCTCCCAAGAGTGAAGATGGGAAAGAATTCTGTGTCCTGAGAACAAATTCTCAGTGAAATCTCTTCATTATACTTGGCTGCTGGAATAGTTAGGTCAAACAAACCTTTTTAGAAACAAGTACTAGTTCCTTGAAATGAAAAATAGCAATGAAATGGAATCTAATACATTTTTCTTGGGTGGGCCCTGTGTTAAAAGGCATCCAATAATGAAAAAGAAAATAATCTTTTAGTGTCCTAATATTATGTGGCCAAAATAAAGGGACAAAGTGCACCGAAAATGTAACTTTTTTTTTTCCCCCTGGAAAAGGGAAAAATTTGCTTCTTCCCACTTGCCACTGTTTCCCAAATTGTTTTCCTTTTCTCTCCCTTCATGCAAAGTAAGGATAGCTCAAAAGAGACTCTAACCCAAAATGCTTGGGATACCAAAACCTCCAGTAGGTCATTATAAGAGGTTACAAATGTAGAGGTAAATATTTACATGCAAATAAAATAATACCAAAACAAACAAAGACAGAAACAAAAATAAAAACCTTCCAAATAATCTGTTTTTCATCTCAGTGATATATAACACTCCACATGTTTCTGTTACAAACACATGTGGACTTTTTTGAGGGTCACGCTGCCTCAATATTCTTTCTTCCAGGGGCTTTAAAGAGGTTGAATCCTTATGATTGACTCACCTGAGAACCTCTTCAGAAGCTTTCAGCTGAACTCTTGCTGAACTAAAGCTGCAGAGGAGGAACAAATGATCTATTCTTTTTCTAAAGAAACTTAAAATTATTCTTTCCTTGGCCTTCCAGATGCAATTTAATAAGATTTTTTGTTTGTTTACAGTAACTGGCAAATGCATATTTGAAATTAAATGCTTGGGATATATTTTTGCCTGTGAACACACATAATTGATCCTTAAAATTATCATGTACTCATTGCTTCCCACCATTGCTTTTGAAGCTTTTCATTCCTGAGGAAAAGAAGAAAAAATATTCCCTGAGGCTATATACAAATGTTTATAACTATGACAGTTGCTAATAAATCTGTAATAATTAACCTACGTCTTTAAAGCAAGTAATTACATCCTTTTTCTCTGCCCCCCCAAGCTGTGCATTCACGCAACGCTTTTGATGAGTTTAAGCTACTCATACCAAAACAATAACTCACAGAAGGCACCAACACCCCTTCTGCAGAGAAGCATATTGTAAAAAATGTGACAGGCTTCCTGCATTCCTCCACAAAGGAAAATCTGAACCAACCCCTAAAGGAAAGAAGGAGCTTGCTCTCAATTTACTCAAGACATTCTGATTCTCCTAGAACTTATATAGTCAAGACCCTATGCCTTCTTTTTCTATTTTTTTTCCACTTTATGTTTGACTTATTGAAGAATAAGGGGGAAAAATGTATAAATCAAACACTGTGTACCCTAATATCCCTTTTCTTGCTAACAGACCTTCCAGAGCCCACAACTTATTTGACTGTGAACAAAAGCCAATGTTACCTGTCATTGATTTCATTTCAGGAAGGACAGGCAATTGCCATATTATTTAAAAAGTGTGTGTATACAATCTCGGGAACAAAAATACTTTCTTCTTGGAACATATAAATGTTCATGTTCATCTTACATTTTTATAGAAAACTCATTATTTGTATCCTAGACAGACTCTTTAAACAGGAGAAACAGGAGATTATTTCAAAAGTTTACATTCAGAACCACATAAAGCTTGAAAGGATGCTTTTCTAGAGGTTAACTGCTGATCTGATGGATTTTGCAGTAAGATTTTCAACCACGTTAAAGGTACTTCAAAATGCCCTGCTTAGAAGAATAGTCAGGAATACAGATGTTTCAGAAGTTGAAATCATTGGTACTGTAGTATTGCCCAAGTGAGTCAAAGTGGAAGTGAAGATTTAAAAAAAAAAAATCTGGATCAGAAGATGATCATCTACTGATAATTATATATTTAATGTATTTTATATTGACAACATTTTTTTTTTTGTGAGAAGGTGAAAGGGGAGGGCACTCATTTGGCAAATTATAATGATTATAATCATATAATTACAAGTCAATGAGTTTAAAGTGAAGTATAAATAAATGCCTTCTACTCATGCACTTTAAAAAATGTTAAACCCTCTTTTATAAAAAGTTGAGTTTTAGGCATTTTTAATAATCTCCCTGTTAAGCTTTCTTATTTGATGTTTACACAGAGAATTGAAATGGGTCTATTCATTATCTAACTAATGAGGTCTAATAAATATTAAAAACAACCCAAAAAAAAAAAAAAAAAAAAAAACCCACTAACAACTTTCATTTCTTAGTACCATGTAATTTTTAGTGACTACCAAAATTTTTCTCTTTACAAATAGCCTTCCATGATTGGGAGTTTCACAGAACACGTAAAATATTCCTATAAATCTTGATTGATAGAGTGTGCTACTGCACTCTGCACTTGTCTCTGTCAGACATCAGTCAGTGACAAAAGCAGGACAAGTTACTCTAGACTTTGGGCAAGAGCAATGTGTGTGTGTTTCACTCCAAGCAAACCTGCTGCAATAGTGGCAAAATCTGTAAAAGATCCCAGACACTGGAATTTTCCTAAATGTCTATGCCATCAGTTTACAGCTAAAGGAAACAAGTACAGTGCATGAAACTCTACTTGAGAGTCACAACCTTGATAAGGAATAAATCCTTTGAAACAGTCTGTTCAGAAGGAAAAAAATGTCACTTTAAAAAGTCTCTCCATTCATAAATATTTGCAAGAAGTTTTGTAAATGCTTATTATAAAAAAAGGAATTCTTTTTTCATATTGCAAGGTCTTAAGAGTAACTACTTCAAGCTTAAATTAAATATGCGTGCTCTAATTATTTCAAGTGATTTATTTAGGAACTGAAATGTTTTGCTTGACAAATATTTACTAATATCGGACTGAAAGAAAAATGTCAAAGTCAAGCTTCCACAGAAATGGTTTTTAAAATATTTCCATTGGTTCATACTCCATTGTCCTCCTCACAATAGAGTGCTATAACAGAGTTCCCATCACACTACTCATCGAGACTCCACTTATTACAGTAAGTGCCTGGCTGATTATTTCGTGCTAGCAGCACATTGCACTCGCTGTTCTTGAACTGGCACTGACAGTTCACGGTCAGGTTAGGAATGAAGGGAGCCCTAAATTGTCTGATATGTGTTCATACACACAGAAATTGCTTCTGCCCTCAGTTGGAGTGTCTCAGTAAACTCTGGAGCCTGCTTGGCTTAAATGAGGAGAAAACTGCTAAATTATTCTTAAGAATGATGTGCAGCTGCTCAGTTTGGAAATCAGTTCTTCC